CAATTTAAGATCATCCATAGGGCTTATGTCCCGTTCTTTCATCCCAAGGACTCTACTCTCATGACTTCTATAGGAAGGTCGTCAAATTATTTGTGTCCAAAATGTGGAGGCCACAGGCCAACGCTACATAATTGTTTGTGGATCTGTCCTTTAGTCATCGACGTCTGGAAACGGACCCTTACGTACATCGGTTCCATTCTCTCCTGGCAACCTGACCTGGATCTTGCTCCTTGTCTATTTAGCTGCTTTGCACCTTCAGGAGAGGGTCGGGGGCCTTCGAGCAGTAAAGGTACAGACTAGGCCCACTTATGCCTCCTAACAGCGAGGCAATGTATAATGATGCATTGGAACTCCTCTACGGTCCAACAACTATGGAAATTATTACAGATCTTAAGTTTTTGTTCTGTAAAGAGAAACTGGATGCAGGGATGCATAAAGATGCCCGCTCTATGCCTTTCCTTTCTAGATGGAGGTACTTTATCAGTAGATCTTACTCTATACCATAAATCCAACAAATTATTAGGACCTTTCGATATACTCAATGGTACTTGAACAACGATATATCGAATGCCTTGGGGGTTCTGCAGGTGAGCCCTGATTAAGAGCCCCAAATGGGGAGCTGCTTCAGAAACCTGGATTATTGATTATGTGCATTGTACGAGGGATAACTTTAGCTGATGGCATGTTCATTGTGGTTACGTGGATCATCACTATTCGTTATGAGAAGTTAGGGATGTGATCAATGCTATACCTTTTACCTGTTTGATGAAGTGATGACTTGTTTTTCTTTTTTATTATTGTAAAACTGCTTAAACTTGAATTGTAAATTAAAAAAAAACTTTTTTTTAAAAAAGTGTTTTTTTGCATTGATACATGTCCCCCAGGGCAGTACCTGAATCCCCATACCCTTTTTATGGCCAATAACTTGCATATAAGCCTTCAAAATGGGGACATTTGATTTTACGAGTTCTGGTCCCATAGACTTTCATTGAGTTCTAAGGTCGAGATAGAACTTTTTCCATGTTCTAATGTTCGAGTTAGAACTGAACTCAGGTGTGTTCAGCCCATCACTATTGATCCATATTCCAGCCGTAATATCCTCTTGACACGAAGTCTAAGAAATCAATGAGATTTGTTGAAGTCCCCACCGGGACCAAATTGACACGTAGTCCTGAAGAAACTTTATACATCTGCCTTAGCTGAAGCAATAAATCTGGATACTTATCCTAACCTATATGCCTATATATCTATTTATAATACAGAGCACACAATACACAGATCAGGTAGAGCATGATTGAAAGTTCAAGTCCATTGTTTTTCCTCTTGCTTTAGACCAGTAGTTAAAGGTCCCCAAACTTCATTGATATACACACTTCTAACTCAGAGACTGCTGGGTGAACAACTTCTGGAAGTGATCTGGTAGAGTCCTTACTTCCAAAAAAAACTATTCTTGGAAGAAGCATTGGGTGAGAAGCAATCCTTCTTTGCATGAACAAACATACTATCAAATACTCAGAGGTGGCATTAAAGTGAGAAGTAATCCTTACTTTCAGGTACCTATCCACAGGGCTGGATTAACGCAGGGGTGGGTGGAGCTGCCGATCCAGGCCCGCCCCTGCAAATAGGCCCGGCCGACCCAAAACGCTTAGGGAGAGTAGACTGGTAAGGCGGGAGTGGGTAGCTATACACAGGGTTTGTTTTAATGCAAATTGATTTATGGATTACTTTTTAGATAATGGAATCAGAGTAATGAACAATGAGAACACAAGTATTTGTGGGAGGGGGAGGGTGGGACAGGTAGTAAAGGGTAAATAACACAATTTGATTGGAATTTTTTTGTTATACAGACATCTTACTATAGATCACATTTATAATGATTAAACACAATGAGTAGAGGGAGGAATATATATAAAGAAGGTTTGAGAGGGAGAGTTGGTCTTAGGACATGGTTTGAGGAAATCAACACTGAAGAAGTTCACACAAATCCGCATAGTGACTATTCCCCCCCTCTAGATGAAGATATGGGTAGTAGATTGAATGCGATGGTAGTTCAGAGATGAGAGTGGATAGTTTGTTGGAGGGAGCAGAGTGGCAATATTTAGGGAGAGTAGACTGGTAAGGTGGGAAGCTAAACACAAGGTTTGTTTTTATGTAAATGGATTCAAAGGATTATTTTATAGATAATGGAATCACAGTAATGTATAATGAGAACACAAGTATTTGTGGGAGGGTTGGTGGAGCTGCCGATCCAGGCCCGCCCCTGCAAATAGGCCCGGCCGACCCAAAACGCTTAGGCAGAGCAGACTGGTAAGGCAGGAGTGGGTAGCTATACACAAGGTTTGTTTTAATGCAAATTGATTTATGGATTACTTTTTAGATAATGGAATCAGAGTAATGAACAATGAGAACACAAGTATTTGTGGGAGGGGGAGGGTGGAACAGGTAGTAAAGGGTAAATAACACAATTTGATCGGAATGTTAGTGTTATTCATACATCTTAGTATAGATCACACTTATAATGATTAAACACAATGTGTAGAGGGAGGAATATATATAAAGAAGGTTTGAGAAGGAGAGTTGGTCTAAGGACATGGTTTGAGGAATTAACACTGAAGAAGTTTACATAAATTCACATAGTGACTATCCCCCCCCTCTAGATGAAGATATGGGTAGCAGATTGAATGTGAGAGGAGAATAGAGGTAAAAGAGATAAAAATGTGAAGATAGAGATTACAAAATTTAATGTTTTTAGATATGAATGAAATTGAAAGTAACAGAATAGATACATTGATTAAAAAGAGATGTGTATAATGTATGCTATTTATGAAGTAAAATTAAGTTTTATATCTCTTTTATGAAATTATGTATAAATGTGTTTGTGAAATAATGATAAAAACTATATTAAACAATAAAAAATACTCGGAGGTGGCATTAAAGTGAGAAGTAATTTTTACTTTCAGGTACCTATCCACAGGGCTGGATTAACGCAGGGGTGGGTGGAGCTGCCGATCCAGGCCCGCCCCTGCAAATAGGCCCGGCCGACCCAAAACGCTACGGTATCCGGGTCGGTGACTGGCCAGGATCAGGGCATGGTGGCCCTCTATTCAGGCATTTTAGATGCCTGAATAGAGGGCCGCAGGCAGTGACCTGTCGCAATCAGGCATCGGCGGCCCTCGATTATAGAGGGAGCCCTACCGACTGCCCAAAGCCTGCACTGACCGCCCAAAGCCCCTACTGACCACCTAGAGCCTGCACTGACCACTGAACTTACTGCCCAGAGCCCACACTAACCACCCATAGCACGCACTGACCTCACAGAGCCCCTACCGACCGCCCGGAGCCCCTACCAACTGACTGGAGATCCTACCGGTTCTAGGGAACTAAAAAAGAGACTAGAAGAACACATCAATTATATAAAAAAAAGGTTTCACTAAACATAGTCTAGGCATTTTAAAATGATCCACAACATTTAAAGATATGTGGCATAGATAAAATTAGAAATCACTGGAGGGGTTCCAATCTCACTAGAGAGATCTCAAAAAAATTAGTCTAAGTGGATTTTCCTTCTTGACACTATGATTCCCAAGGGATTAAACATAGATTTTGATCTTAATTGCTTTCTAAACAATTATTAATAGTTACCTGATTTTGCTTTTTTAATTGCTATCTCTATTTTTTCCTCAAATGTCATTTTGCTGCAACGAACGAACGAAACGAAAATGAAACGAAATTTTGACAGGACTACCGTTAACAAATTTTTCCGAATCCCAAAACGAATTGAATTTTCGGACCCGAATCACGAAATAAATCAAAATCTGAATCGAAACATATTTTTTGCCAGTGCACATGTCTATTAGATATGCTGTGTGATTAGGAACACATAACAAACATATAGTTGGGATTTTCTCAATTTTGACCGCAAAAGTGAAAATTCACCTTAAAATTGCTGCTCACCAAAAAAAAAATGTGGTGCGGTGGGTCGAAAAGAACCAAAAGCCCCCACTGAAAAATAACAGAAACTATACATTACAGAAAGGGGAAGAGATTTCTGTTAAACTCAGCTTCAATGCTGCGTAAACCTGGAATATGTGTACAGGCTCAGTGAGCAATGACTGTGCCAAGGGAGGCTTTATTGGTAAGAATACAAGCAAAGTTCCAACGTGTTTCAGGGGCAAACACAGTACAACCTTCATCAGGGCTTAAAAACATTCACAGTGGTTGTGGAAATTAGAACATCACCTTCCAGGTGCAATTCCAAAGGGGAAACCCTCGGGGGAACGGACTCGGGGAAAGTTTCAATGATAGTGAACACAAAAACAGGGGCACATGCAGCACTCAGCAACTAGGAACTGTGAATGTTTTAAACCCTGATAAAGGGGTTCTGTGTTTGCCCCTGAAACCTGTTGCCACTTTTATGCTTACGGTGCACTCTTCATTTGGTGTTCCTCTGTTTTCTTGTTCTAATCGACAAGCTCTACCATGGCTGCATGTGGAAAATATTACATTTATTTGCAATATTTCATATGTACCTGAAAAAAAGTTTCTTTTGAGGGCATTATGAAGAAATATATACAAAACCAATCTCAATCATATGTTTTAATAAAAGCAGGCATACCATTCTCTTTAGATGCAGGTTCCATAGGGTACCATGTACAATAAAACATACTCTATATGATTAACTTGTATTTAATGCAGCTGCTGCATAAAAATCCCCACCCCCAAAAAAACCATAACCATACTTCAATGGATATAGAATATATATTAAAAGTACATGCAATTTTTAAGTAGAGAAGTGTATGTTTAACGTTACAGTTTATTAAACGTCCTTCAAATCAGACATATACATATAAAATTGTTTTTGTTATTTTCATCTAGATAACTAGTGCATAATTTAGCAAAAACAATAGTCCACTTATGTTGGTTCGAGGTTACATTGCACCAGTTGAGTTGCAGTGAAGAAGAGAAATGTTAACAGATATATAACTAGTAGGGGTTAGTTTTTAGATTCCTGTTTGATGAATGGCTCCCCAAACTTCTAACACAAACTCAGCAGGAAAGGCAAATTCACCCAGGAGGTTGTCCAGTGCTATGCCAAACTCTTCAGGGCTCCGCTTCTCCTTGGCTGTCTCCACAACTGTTGTAGCTGATAAAAAACAAAAGAATCTTTTGAAGTTTATTTGTATTATGTAACATTACACACGTATAACTATCAAAAGTGAGCAGATTATAAACTAGGGTCATGCTTAAAGCAACCCTGTTACTGCAGTAATGAAGAAAATCTCTGGCAGTGAAAATAAGTCATACTTATATTTCTGGTGGACAGTAAGAAAAAGCTGCACTCTCTTGAAAAGCCTCAGGAACCACTGCTAGCTTATACTTCTGGATGTGTCAGATAGTGTGTCCCCCACTAGGTGCTGTGGTTGCTGTCTCCACACTTGCACATCTCCACACAGTAGTGATGTAGGGGTCAGCAGGAGGACCCTCAGTGCCCAGCAGAGGACACTTTGACACACCTAGAATTGTAAGATAGCAGAAGTGTCTGGGGCACTTTCTTCAAGAGAGAAAATATTTTTAATCTTTGCCACTGAAGCTTCTTTTTTTACAGGATGTTAGTGATTTGTATTTTCTAGCACAGCTAAACGGTTGCTTTGAAACCTTATGGTACAGAAATATTTGTCAAATAACATTGCAATCTGTATTAGAACAAGGGAGTTAAAATAAAAAAAATGGACAATTATGTAATTTATTAGGACTATCACCCAACTATCAACCAATCAGGGGCCCAGTATTGCGCTAAACCTTCCAAAATATTATTTTCTATGTGAAAAGGCATTCCATATACTGTACATTTAAATCCATGTGATATTTGCCACTGTAATCCAAGTATGCAGAGGGTATTTCAGAATAACAAGACTCTGATCTTGACATTTAATACAGCCTCTGTATCATCCATAATCCCCCTGGTGACAGTGGCAGCTGCAGGGGCATGTCTGTGGCTGTCTGGTCCCCTTGATTGCGGCACCCGCTCTCTCCGTCTATTTTACCGGGGAGCAGGCGACTGCCCCGTTGTTCTGTCGAAAGCTCCAACTCCTCGAGATTTCCAACGATCTGACTTCCGGTTTAGTTAGAAGTAAGAGGTTTGGCCGAGAAGGCTGTACTGCACGTGCACCACCCGCTGCATTTCCCTATACACATACTACACAACAATAAAGTATTAAAAGTATTAAAATAAACAAGGGTCACACTAATCCAGCACGTTCTTCAGCTGAGTGGCCCCATTCAATATGGCCCGCAATTGGCTGACATATTGAGTGGGGCAACTCAGATTAATAACATGCTGGATTAGTCTGAACCTAGTTAATTTTAATACTTTATTGCTGTGTAGTATGTGTATAGGGAAATGACGCAACTAAACCGGAAGTCAGGTCGTTGGCGATCTCAAGTTGGAACTTTCGATAAAACACCGTCGCCCTGCCCGGGCATGCGTGGTCCGCGGGAGAAGCCTCCCTGAAGGGATCAGGGAGGATCCCTATAAGAATCAGTCAGGCCAGCATGTCGGTGCTTGGCCTATGCATTTGGGACCCCTTTTGCTGTAGTTTTTTTTCCTGGAGAGTTTGCACTGCTGCATGTGGGCAGGTAAGTGAAGGATAGTTCTCTCTCTCTCCCTTTATTACTGCCAAGTGCCTTTCTCCCAAACATGTCTCTATCACTCTGCTCTATTCTTTTTCTCTGGACTTGTTTGCTACCCTTCATTGCAGATTCCTGCCTGAAAGTGGCTTCCTTTGTTCATCATGAGCCGTTCGCCACGATTACAAGATCAGCCATCTGCTTCAAGGTAGGGGACCACTAAATGTTTAAGTAAAAAAAGAGCGAGCACTTTTTACTGATGGTCTGTACATTATTATTTTTTTCCCAGCCCAAATTGCTCTCCAACCTCAAGATCATGCAAGTCCCGACAGGGCAGTGCATTCAGGGCTCTTTCACCCCCAAGAAAAAGGATGGCAAAGAGAAGGCAACTGTCACCTTCTCCTGAAAGGACATGCAGACCCAGCAAGAACATGTGCTGGGCATGTGGTAGTATTCCCTTGCCGGATAAGCTGGTATGTGTGGGCTGCCTTGGGGACATGGCATACAGCCGACTTTATAGTTGGAGCAGCCATAGATGTCATCCGCTGTTCTGCCTGTTCCATGCTATATTCAGTTACCACGAAGAGGGCCATATGGCTTAAACCCTGGGCGGTGGGTGGAAAAGATGGAATCGGCTATCTCATGGGTGACTGGTGGGAAGACTGGCCTACTTCCACAGGACCGTAGGAAAAAGCGGCAGAATTTGTTTTCTTTTTGACAACAGTCGAGATTTGGAGCAAAGCCTTTTTGCCAGTGGAAAGACCAGAAAAGAGGCTGGAGAGACACACTATCTTCCATTATGAGATAACAAAGACAGAAGCCTTTGCTGACTCTCCCGGATTCATCGAAGTCCTTTTGACTGGTTGCCCACCCAGCCGATTGCAGTAAGAGCCAGACTACAGCTTCTTGCGCAGGTATGGGCGGAGCAATGCTACGATCCCTGGGTGGTTTCCACAGTCATGCACAGCCATTTCTGGACTTACAGGTCAAGACCTCCACAAGACTCTTTCCTACAGAGAATTCCGGTTTCTCCCCCAAAAAAGGAAATGCTACTTCATTACGTCTACTCTCTTCCAGAACAAGGTGCGGTGACCCCCAGTCCCTTGTTCAGACAGATTAAGAGGGTTTTATTCCCCACTCTTTCTGCTAAGAGAGCAGATGGGGGACTGGAGGCCAGTAATAGACCTCAGGAAGCTAAACAGGCATATTCATCTGCAGCGGTTCAAGATGCAATCTCTCCAAACCCTTATCCAGACCGTCCAGGCCGTGGACTGAATGCTGTTCGTGTACCTTTGGGACGCTTCCCTACACATCAAAAATTTAAGATTCGCAATAGGATGCCTTCTTCTACAGCTTACATGCCTGCCTTGGTGTCCTTAAAGTGACACCAAGGCATTAAATCTTAAAAATGCATTCAAGTGCATCATCTAGTTCATCAAATTCTCTATCAACTATTAACAAAAATGCAGCTTATTTGTGTAGCTTCTCAAATAATCTCTGAATTAGTGCTGACACTGTCCATCCTTCTGGAGGGTGGCTACTTTTGTTCCTCATGTTGTGGAAAATTGTATTTGGACTATTGGGGAGGTTTTTATTAGGATGTGTTTTTAGTAGATTGTATATGTGAATATTGTCATCATGTCTGTCAGTGTCAGGTTTACCGGGTTATGCTCTATGAGACCTCCGCCGGCGAATGGTCCATGTGCTATGCGCTCGGCTGTTGGCCGGGGGAGATTAATGTGCATTGCAGCCGCGTCTGTGTCCTCTTCACAAGTGTATGGACACCGGCGAGGGCCCCTATGTAATGCACAGATTTATTTGTTTGGCGGGGATGTATTTGCTTTTGAGGACACAGTATCATTTGGATACATATCTGCCTTTATGAAGGAACATACGCTCATGTCTTTTTAGTGTGTCTGATCAACACATTGGAAATAATATGGCATTTTCCCTGCAGATAAACTCACATTCATGGGAATAGTAGTATAGTTCTATTAGGCATTGTTCACTGAACCTTGCTGAGTGGAATTCCCACCAGTGGTAAAGGCGGGAGTGTATGCCCGAGTCTGATTGGAGCAACGTTCATAGTTAACACGCTGATTCCTTTGTGTAGTCTATTGGCGCGAACTCCGCTGCACATGGTTTTCATTGTTCTGTCTTGCGATGGTTTAAGGTACTTAAAAAAACGTACGATCTGCCTATGTTGCATAGGCAGATCGTACTTGCGATGATCGCAAGCCACGCCCCCTGAGGGACGGCCTTCCGATGACCGCAATGCCGAACGGGCAGTGTGCGGCGGGTTCTCGAACATGTCCGTAAGTTTAAAGTCGTGCGACCTTACAGTAGTAGAGGTCGCACTGCTTCCACACACCTTACGATCATCATACGATTGCGTGATTTCCCGCGATTATCGTACGATAATCGTAAGGTGTGTGGGGACCCTAAGGCCTCGCGCTGACGAGGGACTCACGGCCGCCTAACTCACCTCTACAGATCCACCTCACCTGGTCAGTCCGCCCCTGGGCAGAGGGAGCACCGATTTCCTGATGGGGGAGACTGGGGCGGCAATTCCCTGCAGCCTCCGCACCGCACCCCCCCCCCCCCCCCCGGGGGGAGACTTCTCCCTCTAGTGCTGGCGGAAATACTTCCGCCACTTCTCACTTCCTTTCCGGCGGGGAGAGCCCACCCGGCATGCCACGGAGATGTAGATGCTCCCGCAGCAGCCAGCGGTGGCATCGGAGGAGGACAAAGAGGAGGCTGATACCATCGGTATCAGACACAGGGAGATGACTCCCTCGGTCGAGTCCAGGTTAGTGAAGCACCCCTCTTTTATTTTATTTTTTCTTTATCATTTCATTTATTTCTGAAGTTTTTTTTTTTTTTTTGCACTTTAGATCTGACCACAGCACTCTGTGCATTCCTTAGATCTGACCTCTGCACTCTGTGCGTTCCTTAGATCTGACCTCTGCACTCTGTGCGTTCCTTAGATCTGACCTCTGCACTCTGTGCGTTACTTAGATCTGACCTCTGCACTCTGTGCGTTACTTAGATCTGACCTCTGCACTCTGTGCGTTACTTAGATCTGCACTCTGTGCGTTCCTTAGATCTGACCACTGCACTCTGTGCATTCCTTAGATCTGTCCACTGCACTCTGTGCATTCCTTACTTCTGACCTGATTGTTATCCCCCTTTGTAATAGCAATGACATTAAGTGTAAAAAAAAACATAAAAAGAGTAAAAAAATAAATAAAAGTCACATAAAAAAAGTAAAAAAAAATAAAAATGTTTAAGTCCCCCACCCCCACGTTTACGCACATATAAACGTAAATACGCGCCAGGTGCACCAGCGCGCGAAAACAACAATTGCGCTACACTACACATGTTACATATCGCCGCGAACGTCGGAGTGTGAGCAATAATTTTAGGGCCATCAATCACTGATCACACTAAACTGATGACCTGTAAAAGCTTTTAAAGCGTCGCCTATGGCCAATTTTGGGTATTGTAGTTTTGAGG